AGATATACTTAAGCCCATGTGTCTGTACAAATGACATTTCTAATTACTCAGCCAGTTGAAGAATTTCATTGTGAAGATCTAGTTACAAGGATGGACAGGAGATTCAGCATATCACCTGTTATTTGCCAGGTGGCAGCAGCTGACCCACATATGGAAAGAAACAAACAAAAATACCATACAGGACATCTAGGAAAATTGATAACAGAAAGAAAAATGCTCAGATCTTAATAGAAAAATAGCAACAACTGAGGCAGACATGGACAAGATTTCTGATTCACCACCTAGAAAAAACAGGGGTGGGGAAGAGGTGGACAGCTCACTTATCTAAGATACTGCTGAGTTCATTGTATTATTATCACAAAGGGAAATTCACAGGCTTCTTTTTCAAACACCACTTTGGATAAAGCAGGAGAAAGTAAACAGCTTCATCTCCATGGTAGCATTGTACACAATTAGTGAATCAGACAAGGAGCTGCCTACACAAGGCTACACGTGTCCAGGTTTCAGAAAAAACACATATACATACATGCAAACTTTATCTTAATGTACTATTTTTCTTTATATTGATTTTTAAAAAGGAATATGGTGAATTATGTGGTAGGGTAAGTGGAAAAAGAATTTAACATTTGCACATAATGAAGGAAGAAGAGAAGGTAATTTCTCACATTTTGGGAGCAAAATAGCAACTGAATGGCTAGAGCAAAGGCCAAACAGTTTACATTAACAGCACATTTGTTGTATATAACCTGTGTAAACAAATTTTAGAGTCACAGGATGCTCTATTCCTGGTGTTACAGAGGAATTGCCAGAAAGGAGAGGAATCATTTAGACTAAGTGGTTGTTGTTGTTACGTGATGTTGAGTCAGACCCGACTCATAGCGACCCCTCCTTGGGTTTCCGAGGTGGTATCACTACAGAAGTAGATTGTCCAACCTTCCTTCTGAGGAGTGGCTGGTGGGTTTGAACCTCCAGCCTTCTGGTTAGCAGTCAAGTGCCTTAGGCACTACGCTACCAGAGCTCCTTAGAATAAGTTAGGAACAGTAAATCCTCAACATTCTGGGATGTAACCAATACCATTTTTCCTTTCTATTTTCCACTTTAAGGCCACAAGCTTCTATGAAGATTTTGTTCCGAATTCAACCTTTAGGTGTGCTACATATTCAGTACAATTTCTTTCAATTTTGGTGCTTAACATATAATACAGAAAATACTGGTATCTAAAATAATATATATTAGACAACTCTTAACAATAAAAAACTATCAAAGAGCAAATTATACTCAATATAGCTGGACATGTGAAGGAAGAAGTACCTACTAATATTTTTCATAGATATTTCACTTTGAATGAAGACAAAAAATGGTTTTTGGTTAATCTTGACTTAAGAAATATTCAATTTATGCCACTGCTCCAAAACAGTAATCAGGAGTTGTATGTAAAGTAGTTGGTCAATAGCATCAAATGGCAATTATCCAGAAAGACATAATTAGAAAAGCATACAGGATAAGCACATGGACACTTAGAATATGATAGCTGAAGCTATAAGGTTTTTTTTTTTTGTGGTTATGGATATAGAAAAATCAATATTTCAATTAATACTTGTAGTATTCACATCTTAACCTTTAAAATGTTTAATCTTCTAGATACTGAGTTCCAATCCACCCCTTTTACTACTTGTTTAAGAAACAAGTTGTATTTCATGTTTTAAGAAAACATTTTCTCCATATATTTTAAAAGAAAAATGCATTAAGAATGACCACATCACATCTAAAAGAAATGAAGGGCAAAAACAATTTTCAATCCAGTGTGTGTCACGAAGTTAAGTAAAGAATAACTGAGGAAATTCAAAGATTCTGCCAGGAAAATTGTCTTGCAATTTTATTTGTTGAATGAACTTAATGGTGTCATGCATAATGTACTAAATATCTATGCTGTATCACAGATTAAAGTAAAGGAATATTTTCAAACAAAGGTTTTATTGTAAGAGTTGGTAACTTAGGGCATCATAATGTAAAAACACTTTAATAGTCTCCTACCTTGTTTAGTGATTTGATAGTGCATTTCTGGCATCGTTTATGAAAACCGTGAGCCCTATCAGATTGGATAAGCAACAAAACAAGAAAGCTTTTGTAATATTTTGTGACAGTGCCTATAGCACTGTAGAAGAATTTGGTGCTAGCATCAAAGAAAACCAATTAAAATGACTACATTAAATAGTTTTTCTTCAAGTTTAATGTGAGAGATACAGCTACAACACTAAACTTAGCTGTTTCAATTTATTAAATTTAGGACAAATGCCTACTACTTGCTTAGGTCTCTGCTTTGTTTCACTATTTATAAATCATGTGATTACTCCCAACTCATGAAAATAAATATTATTGCCAGATGCTGAATTCTTTTTCTCTCCCATTTTAATGCAGGAACAACCTGTTCTAGCTGCTTCACAGTAGAGCATTACCTAGGGCCTACCCATCTGGAGTGGGTACTGTTGACAGCTGCTACTGTGTACACAGGGTGTATTCTATGTGTACAGTGGATATGCCTATGTGTGAGATAGCCAGGAAGAGGGAGATAGGAGACAGCTTACTTCCCGGGAAAAGCATCTGAAACAATAGGCAACAAAATCACTATGAAAAATGGGTAACTCAGACCAAAATCTGTGATCATTAATAACATAGGTTATAATTTCTCCTTTAATCATTCTTGATGTAGGTCAATTGGTAAGAAACTGAAAAATGTGCCTCATCTAAAATTCATTTTAATTTCTAATTATAACAAATATTATCAAAATTCTCAGGGTATGTGTGTTGGATAATTAAGAACTCAGGATTTCCTATACAGTTAAATTATTTGAAATAAATTAATCTAAATGTCCAGCGTAGCTGGTAATGTTAACTTTTAGGTATGATATTTTCCCTCATATGTTAAGAATTTGCAAAATTGAATTAAAAACAAAAAAAGAAACCCAGTTACTGTGAATATATTACTCAAATGAAATGGTATATATGAATCTCTGGATGGATGATACATGATCAGATAGTCTTTTGTGACTCCTCAGAGGGAATAAGTTCAGAGAAGCAACCAGTATCCCCTCCCATATCTGATTTTCTAAACGTAAGATGGAGACAAATGCACTGCCTACAATGAATATAGAAGAGGAAGCCTTCTCAGGGCACTAGTTTATGCCTGTTCCATACTATCCTAACCCTAAAGCTACCACTGGTTTTCCCAGGCTAGTGACCTTATCTGGGGATAGGTATACGCTAAGTTCATACAGGTGTTAGCTCTCAAGGAACATAGCCCACCCAGAGCTCAAACTATTTCCTCTTCTTTTATTTGGTTTAAAGCATGAGATATGTGTTTCTCTTACATAAGTTTTCAAGGGTTACCTTTTTCATTAAGATTATAAATTTACACAGTTAGATGATATTAGTACCATATAAATATTATAGGGAAGGTTGTGTTCTATTTGGTACTGAAAACTATTTTCTGTTAGAAGCTATTGAACCAAAGCAAAATAAGAAAAACATAAATTACATCCTGTTTACAGGAGTCTAAATTAAACATTGTTTTTATTACTCATGGGGCTTTCCTTTTTGTCAACACAGAAGAGAGTGGTAGTTGGCTATTTATAATTTCTTCTCAGAACTTTAACATTCTCCTCAGAATGTTACTGGAAAACAATCAGATAACATAAAATTTAGTATTATCACCAATCTGATCACTTTTTCCAAAAATTCAGTCTCATATACTTTCTATACAGTAAGAAAAAAATCTAGCCAAAATCAGAGATACACCTTGCCTTCAGCAGAGGGAAATCTGTATATACAAATCCGTGTTTCATATAGGCAGTATTCATATTCAAAAGCTTAGCTAATTTTCCTAATATAATTTTATTATCAGGTATACTGAGGTTTATAAAAAGGGCTATATGCATATGTTTACAAATATTAATTGATATTTGGCATTTTATGCATTTAAATGCTTTTATTTGATGTCATCTGACCTAGAAATAAGTCAAATTTGTTTTGTTTTTTTATGTTATTGTTCTTATCCCCTACTTGGATTTTGTGTAGTAACAGCATTCTTATTGCTATAAACCAAAAGCAAAACAAAACAAACAAAAAAACAAACCTATAGCCATCAAGTCAATTCTGACTAACAGTGATCCTATAGGACAAAGTAGAACCGCCCCAAAGGGTTTCCAAGGCTGTGATCTTTAAAGGAAGCAGACTGCCACATTCTTCTCTTGAGGAGCTGCTGGTGGGTTCAAACTGCTGACCTTTTGGTTAGCAGCCAAGCACTTAACCACTGTACCACCAAGGCTCCCTTATTGCAATGACTAGAAATTTTAAGTGTTTTGCTAATGTTGTTGTTGTTGTTGTTTGCCGTGGAGTCAGCCCCGACTCATAGCGACCCTTCCTTGGATTTCCAAGGCAGTATCACTACGGAAGTAGGATTGCCCAACCTTCCTTCCGAGGAGTGGCTGGTGGGTTTGAACCGCCAGCCTTCTGGTGAGCAGTCAAGTGCCTTAGGCACTATGTTACCAGAGCTCCTGTTTTGCTAATAGTGTTTTTTTTGTTTTGTTTTGTTTTTGCTATTCCTACTATAAAGCAAGGATTTTATTGGAAACACCATAGTGTGATAAATAGAAGGAGTAATACGAAATGACACATGTATAATGATAATGCTATTTCTATAAGCAACATTATATTTAAAAAATCCAGTGAATATTATTTCCACATAATTAAGTTGTAAATGTCCAGTGAAGCTTACTTCTTTTCTCTCACTCTTTCTTTCAAATTCAGGAGATATTTTTATGAGGTCCCAGACAAAGGGCCTGAAATTCTTAATAGCAGTTTCCTGTATTTAATACTTGCTTCCTATGCATAGGTTTTTTCTCTTCCAGATCTCTCAGGAAAACAATGAAAGTAAGCTTTCACACAGCTCAACACTTATGAATACCCTAAATGTATACATGCGCTCCCAAATGCCTTCCCTTTCAATCTAACACTGAGGAAGGGGCAGGACGAACACAGCAGTTGGGGCGCCGAAAGTTCTGCAGCATGGACTGGAAAACACTGTGCTGCCTTCCTTTAAGCTTTTTATTTGAAGAAGTATCTGAGGAAATGGATCTCCGGCTCTGGCTGTTTTGCGCTTTGATTAATTTCTCATGTTCCCTGATTTGTCTTTGTAAGTGGTTCTGGATGGCAATACCCAATGACTCTGGGTCCAAGGAAGCACCATACACCTCCCAGGTCATGCCCTGCTCATCCCACACCACATCTCGGACACGCTTGGACTGTTTCAACTGGAGCTTGGATTCAGTGGCAAGTTGCTTTTTTTTCTCTCCTGGGGTGAGTCCTACCTGAGCAGCAGCCGCTGTCACGTTTAATTTTTGCTCCTTGAGAAACTCGCTAACTCGGCTTGCCCGACGGGGGCTGGCTTTCACTGAGCGAGAAGGGGTCCTTTTACCAGAACCTGGGCTGGAGTCACCCATGGAATCAGAAGGCAGGCTGAGGCTTGCGGCTGTCTTGGTTTGTTTATTTTCTTCTAAGGTGCCTTCCTGGTTCTTTTTCATGGAAGAGGGTGTGGGATTAGCAGCTGATCCTGTGGCTCCACTTTCTTCAGATTTGGGATTGAGCAGTAGGGTTTTGGCTTCTGCCTTTGCCTTTACTTCCAGGGTATCAGTGCCAGTAGACTCTGGTTGTTTTACTAGCTGAGGAGATACAGGCTTCTTCTCTCCTGGACCTCCTTTCTCACTGGGATCCAACTTCTCAGACTGTTCATCTTTGCTGGAGGGGACACAAGAGTTGGGTAGTTTATAATCTGGATCCACTTGGTGACCATAGATGGTTTTCACTGTAAATTCAGATGGCATGGCTTCAGATTTTCCCACTCCATAACTTATTTCATCTTGACTGTTTGCACAGATACAAATCTGGTCAGCAGAGCTAGCGTTCAAGGAGCTAGAATTAGAACCTGAAAATTGTTTAGAGTTTGGCTTTTCCCTCTTAGGAGTCATTCCTGCTGACTTACCATCTTCTTTACATATATCTTGAGCATTATTGGATGCCACCTTGATTGGTGCAGTTTGAAGGACCTTGCCTGGCAAGCTCATTGATTTGTTTTCCCCATGCAAAGCCATGGAACCAGCTGTGGCTACCTGGATGTGCACCTTGGGCACTATGGCACAGCACTGACCTGACTCCTGGGAGGCTAGCGTGCTGTCAGACAGCTCCAATGTGTGGCTCCCACTGGCACTGCCATGGCAGATGATGCATAGTTGCTCTTGTTGTTCAAAATGCTCAGGAGCAGGGATTTCTTTTAAGAACGCGGTAAGGATGCTGGGGCTGGTGGAGACTGATCTGCTCTCCACACTTGCCACTGCCTGCACCTCAGCATCTTGTCGAGTTCTATTGGTAGCTCCCTTGATCTCACTTTCAGCTTGGTTGGTCATTGTACTTGCCTCTTTAAACTTTACCCCCTGACACTGAGCTGTCAGCTGCACTTTCTCTGGGTCTGGAGGAAATGCTGAACCTTTACTAGAGAGGTGGGATGGTTGAGATGCCACAGAAGTCATGGCCTGGGTGTCTGAGGCAGTGGGAAAGGGTTGTTTGTTTTCTGAACATCCAAATTCCTTAGCAGAAGATTCACAGGACCTTGGCTCAGAGTCACAAATGGCTTGATGCCTCTCCCCTTCAGGTCCACCTACAGGAGAGGCTGAAGGACTGGACACTGGGGTTGCAGTATTTGGAGTTTGCACCATTCCCTGGATTGTTTCTTGAGAAGGAATTTCACAGGGTACTTGATCATTGTTGCAGCCATGGATACCTCCTACAGGACAACTTGACTTCTCAGGTTGCTCTCCACCTGAGGTTCTCTGTGATTTCACCTGGGTGTCTTCAGGTACAGATGAGGGGCTAGCCTTGATTTTGACAGCCAGGATGCCCTGGTTGGTGTGCTGATTGGCTGGCATGATGAATGGTGCACGTGTAAGATCCTTTCCTGCCGCAGAACATGGGACTGGTGCTATGGGCATGCTGCTTCCTGGCAGCTGGGATTTACTAGGAGAGTTGAGTGTGGGAGGCTGTTTCTCTACCTCATTGATGACACAAGGAGAAGACATGTCTGGCTGGGTCATCTCATGCTCACAAGCCTTCATCAGAGCCTCAGCTGCTGCACTGGGGCTGAGGTCTGGTTCTGCAGGAGTCCCTGAAAGGCCATTGGTATTCTTATACAGTAGGGCTGGTCCCTGATGAGATGAAGCAGATCGCAACTCTCCTAGATCCTCTTCTTTCCCAGAAGTTGCAATCAGGGAAGTTTTAGCTGATCTCAGAGGGTCAGGTACAGTCCCCATGGAATTTCTTTTCAGGAAAACTCCAGAGTGTTCCCTTGAGCAGTGCTCTCCCTAGAAGCAGTTGTAGCTTACAGTGAAGACACAGTTAGCGATGATTCCTCTGAAGAACCAATCTGTGAATCAAGCAAGGAAACAGTACCATTAACACAGTACATCATTTAAAGACTACAAAAAAAAAAAAAAAATGTAACTAATTATCATTTATATAAGACCTTGTAAGCATATTAAACAATTTAAACATAGACCTTGAAAAAAAATAATTTTGGAAAGAATAATTTTAATTACACAAGTATTTCAATGTGTTGATTTCTACTTACAGTCCAGCAAATAGATTTTTAATGTATTTACCTAAACTACACCCACTACCATTAAGTTGATTCTGACTGAGAGTAGTCAGAATCAAACCCACATTGGGTTTCCCAGGGAGAAAATCTTTACCAAAACAGATTGCCTCATCTTGCTTCAACAGAGTGGCTGGGGGGTTTGAGCCACCAACCTTCTGGTTAGCAGTCAAATGCCTTAGCACTGCACAACCAGAGCACCTAAACATTTGAGAATTACCTTAAAAGTAATTTGTGTGATCTGCTTTACCAGATATCAGAAAATCCTACAGAGCTACTGTAATCAAATCAATTAAGTATTGAAATAGGAATAAACAAATATATATGTAAAAAAAGAATATCTAGAATTTAGATCCAAATATAAATAAAGATTTAATATATGACCAAGAAGACATGAAGTATGAAACCAGGAAAATTGGAAGTTGTCAAAAATGAAATGGAACAGATAAAGATCAATATCTTAGGCATTAGTGAGCTGAAATGGCCTGGAACTGGCCATTTTGAATCAATCAAACATATGGTTTACTATGCTGGGAATGTCAAGTTAAAGAGGAATGGCATCACTTTCATTGTCAAAAAGAACATATATTGAAGTCCAATGCTGTCAGTGATGGGATAATATCCACACCTTTATAAGGAAGACCTGTTAATACTACTATTATTCAGATTTATGCACCAACCACTAAAGTCAAAGATGAAGAAATTAAAGACTTTTACTAACTTCTGCAGTCTGAAATTGATCAAACTGGAAATCAAGAGGGATTGGTGACTGCTGGAAATAGGAATGCAAAAGTTGGAAAGAAAGAAGCATCAGTAATTAGACAATATGCCCTTGGTGATAGAAATGATGCTGGAGATTGCATGACAGAATTTTGCAAGACCAACAACTTACTGCAAATATCTTTTTTCAATAAGATAAATGGCCACTATACACCAGGACCTTGCCAGGTAAATATGCAGGAATCAAATCGACTATATCTGTGGAAAGAGATAATGGAAAAGCTCGGTATCATCAGTCAGAAAAAGGCCAGAGGTCAACTGTGGGACAAATAATCAATTGTTCATATGAAAGTTCAAGTTGAAGCTGAAGAAAGTTAAAACAAATCCACAAGAGCCAAAATATGACCTTGATTATATCCCACCTGAATGTAGATACCATCTGAAGAATAGATGTGGTGAATTGAACACCAGTGACTGAAGACTTGATGAGTTGTGGGATGACATGTAGGACATCATACATGAAGAAAGCAAAAGATCATTGAAAAGACTAGAATGGAAGAGAAGACAAAAATAGATGTCAGAATAGGCCCTGAAACTGCTATTGAATGGAGAGAATGGAAGAAATGAAGTGAAAGATTTGAACAGAATATTTGAAAAGGTAGCTTGAGAGGACAAAATAACATATTATGAAATGTATTGAAAGTATTATGAAATATATGGAAGTATTATGAAATATGCGAAGACCTGGATTGCAAAAATCAAAGTGAACACACTTGGCATTTCTCAAGCTTAAAGAGTTGAAGAAAAAATTCAAGACTCAAGTTTTGATATTGCAGGATTCTATGGGTAAAAATCCTGAACAATTCAGGAAGCAGAAAAAGAAGATGAAAGGAATACTGAGTCAGTGTACAAAAAAGAACTAGTTGATGTTCAACCATTTCAGGAAGTTAGCATATGATTAAGAACCAATGGTATTTAAGGAGGAAGTCCAACCTGCACTGAAGGAATTAGCAAAAAAAAAAAACAAGAGTCCAGGAAATTATAGAACACCAATTGAGATGTCTTAAAAATGGATGCAGCACTGAAGGCCTTTACTCACTTATGCCAAGGAATTTGGAAGACAGTTACCTGGCCAGCCAACTGGTAGAGATCCACATTTTGTGTGTATTCCAAAGACAGATGATCCAACAGAATGTGGAAATTATTGAACAATATCATTAATATCACTTCCAAGTAAAATTTTGCTTAAGATAATTCAAAAACTGTTGCAGCATTATGTTGACAGGGAATTACCAGAAGTTCAAGCCAGATGCAGAAAAGGATGTGAAAGAGGGAAATCATTGTTGATGTCAGATGGATCGTGGCAGAAAGCAAAGAATACCAGAGAGATGTTTACTTGCTTTCTATTACCTATGCAAAGGCATTTGTGCGGATTATAACAAATTATGGATCACTTTGTGAAGAATGGGAATTTCAGAACACTTAATTCTTTCCCCTTTTTCTTACTAGGAGCTCTGGTGGCACAGTGCCTAAGGCATTTGACTGCTAATCAGGAGGTTGGTGGTTCAAACCCACTAGCCAGTCCTTGGACAGAAGGTTGAGCAATCTACTTCTGTAGTGATACTGCCTCAGAAACCCAAGGAGGAGTTGCTATGAGTCAGATCCAACTTGATGGCAATGAGTTTTCTTACTCTCTACCAAGGCAGATGTCCTTCTTCAGAGATTGGTCCCTTCTGATAACATATCCAAAGTATAAGATGAAGTCTTGCCATCCTTGCTCTAAAAGAGCATTCTGGCTATACTTGTTCCAAGATAGATTTGGTCATCGTTCTGGCAGTCCATGTACGTTCAATATTCTTTGTCAACATCATAATTCAAATGCATCCATTCTCTTTGGTCTTCCTTATTCATTGTTTAGTTTTCATATACATATGAGGTAATTGAAAATACCTTGGCTTGGATATGTCTTTAAAGTGATATCTTTGCTTTTAAACACTCTATACAGCCTAGCTTGTAGACTGAGACAGACTAGGAAGAAGGAAGAGGCTGTCCACTTCTCAAAGAATTGGCCAGGGAAATCCTTATGAATAGCAAAGAAACACTGTTTGGTACATTACC